TGGTATGCGTGCGGTTTACGGTGATCATGCGCAAAGGTTAACCAGATTTGGGCTTGAGTACAAAGGAAGACCCTCTGTTATCCTTTGCTTTTTGGAGTTTTTGTAGTTTGACGTTATAGTCCGTGGCAGCCGTCAAAGTCAAACCCCTTGACTTCCGTCCAGGCCTGGGGTAGGACTCACCCCCAGGGCCGCAAGAGACGACTGCCATCACAGGTATGGACCTGTGTACCACCCACTCTGCACAGAGTGTAGAAGAGGGTGTGTGGTCTCCAACCGTGCTTGGCGATTGTCCAACGTCGAGAGATTAACCCTCAAGGCGCGTGTCAGCCGACACTTGAGTGTCGAATGCGACCCTCGAAATTATCGAGGACCGCACGATTATGGGTACTACATAGTATGCCATCATTGCGACTGCCTGCGTACGTTTGCATTGCGAGTTAATATGAGTAGGCCCTGCGTCCGCGCGGTTTTATACTAAGTCTCGCACGCGACGCCTGTCCGATTTCCGCATCGGAAAGTTATGGGTTGACTACCGAGGGGCTAGGAGCGTTGTCGTGTTGTTTGTGTTGTGTCGTGTTGTATGTGTGTGTGCACGTTTTATTTGTTTGTTCGTAAAGTGGTGTGCGCGTGGTGTGTGGGATGCGTCCTGGTCGACCGATGACGAGCCGCGCTTGGGACTTCAGCCCCCCAAGATGTCGGTTCACGTGCGGGTCCGATAGGCATATTACCCCACGTACCCCCTATGCTACAGCGAACGAGAAACGCCCTCGGCTGGTCCACCTCTGCGATTGCAACTGATTAGCTTTCGTACTGTAGACTGGTAGCTCGGCGGGGATACGCCCACCGAAGGGAGGTGACAGCTCCCGTAAAGTGGAGGTAAGTTGTGCCTCGCGTAGGCCCTATCCTGTCGTAGGGGCTCGCGAGAGGTATGGCTGGCGCACTCGGCCGGAGCGGCCTAAAGAAGCTCCATTTGTGTGCTCGTGACGAGGTTGGTCCAACTCCTGCGTGACGCGGCCGAGAGGGTCCCACGCCGCCGCGTGCGGTGCCGGACCGATNGAAGCTCCATTTGTGTGCTCGTGACGAGGTTGGTCCAACTCCTGCGTGACGCGGCCGAGAGGGTCCCACGCCGCCGCGTGCGGTGCCGGACCGATGCGCTCGACAGGTGACGCCGTTGCCGGGGATAACGACTGCCTATTGTTGTCCCTGGTGGAACAACATCCGGGTATTGGAAGTGAGAGAATAGGCATATGAGAAGTTTCGTTGAGACTATATGAGTGATCAGTTGATATCTCAACTATTGATTGGAGCGCCGTAGAATTGACAGGTCCTTAAAAATCAGGTCTAGATTCGAGGCAGGTTGATGATTCGAACGAAGTGACCGCTTCTGCCTTTTTTACTGACTTGGATGAAATGGTTGGTAGCGGACAATGCTGGATGAAAAACATGAAGTGAGGGTCAAGCGATGTGGTTCTGATTGATATGACCTGATTTGGATTAATGTGGTATGGGTGGCTCGAGGGAGATAAGTGTTGTGATTTTGCGTTCACCGACTCTGACTGGCCTGATGGTATTTGGGATTGGTAACCTTTCTGATTCGATAGTTGGCAGGCCTGGATGGTGCTTTGCGTGCTTGGCGTGACTAAGGTTAAGCATGGCTATTGTGAGAATTAGCCCTATATTGTACCCTTTTTGACTGCCATAAGAGTCATCTGAGTGATTGGGAAAGCATCGTAATACGGTTGCATCAGAACGGAACTAAGGATGAGTGAGATAATGTTCCTTTGATTAAAAGTGGAAGGTATAGACCCTCTCCTAGATGGCAGGCTAGAACTCGTCTGTGCGCCTTGAGGGGAGGCAGGTTAAGTAAAACTGAAGGATCTACCTGCGTGGGCGTAGATGCCTGAGCCTGGATTCTAAGCGGTTGCTCTGCTACGGGACGTAGTAAGTCTGGGTAACACATTCTTTACGTAGAGGACGTATGATCCTAGAGGGAGTTGGAGTAGCAGTGGAAGAGCTAACACTTAGGATACTTTGCTCATCTTTAATGGAGCGGCGGGTAGTGATTGATGTTAGGCCTTCGCCTGGACCCCTCTGGGTCCGGATCACCCACGTGGAAAACTAAAGGCTTGAGACTCTTCGTTTTGAGGGTGTTACTTTGAGCTATACACTGGACTCACCTATGAATGTCAGACCTTGTAGGCCTAGGTTATGTCTAAGTGTGTGAAGTTATATGGTTAAGCAGATATCCCTTTCAGGACATTTCGTATGGGCTATTACATTGGGATTATATTTGGGATCTTATCAGTCTGTAGGGATTTATATGAATGCCTCCAGTCCAGCATTTGGCTCATGGTTGGCCATTCACCTTGTACGTTTGGGGCGCTCCTCCGAGACGAATAGGGATTGTCAGGTTAATAACGGAAGGCGTGTGTTGGACGTTTGTCTGTGATGGGCAGAACCCAGACAAAGCAAAGACAACTCAGGATGCCTTATGCACGGGAAGACCCGCGTATGCTCGGGCCAGTTGAGAAAGAGGGGGGGCTCGAGGTGTCTATACCCAGGCGAGTCAGAGCAGGAGAGTACTTCTCGTCATTGTGGGACATGTTGATGGGCACGGACATCCTTGCCTGGATCGAGTATGGGTTTGATGACGAGCAGGAGTGTGCGATTGTAAGGGTGACGCTGTACGCCTCGCCCTCATTCTGGATCGAGCATGGGATAGAGTTGGCGCTTGGGCATGGGAGCCTGCTTGCTAAGCCTTTGAGGGTAGCCGAGGCAGCTGCAACGAAGTGGGCGAGGGAAGTGTCCCGTGATGGGGAAGAGCGAGTGCTAACCCGCGTAAGGGTCAAGCGCGTTGGAGAACTCAGGCTTCCATCTGCTCCGCTGCGAGTAATCCTGCCTGAGTTTCTAATAGAGAAGAGTTTTGGTGGGCAGGCGAGGGTAGAGGCAGCAGTTGAAGCTGCTCTGAGGGCGCGAGATTGGGAGTATGAGCGATACACGTGTGAACTGATGTATGGTCTATACCTAGACCTGAGATTCCTGCCTTCCAGTCAGTGGCTCAGGGACACGGCCAATGCACTGGACGTATACGCCTCTTCTCATGATCCGAATGAGGGAGAGGTGGACTGGGATGAGATTTGGGCAGCGGTGGGCCGATAGGGAAAGTCTTCCCTTTCTACTAAAGGCGATCCTTTTGATTTGGTGTGGTCGCCTCTCTGCCCATTACCGTAGTTATGAAGGTAAACGTCAGGGTAACTAGGGGATGAGGCCTGGTTGCGTGAGGAAAGGGGTAGGTGGCGTGATTTAAGTGTTAGCAGTTTGCCTTTGTCTGCTTGAGCTTACTTGAATCGCTTTGGTGATCTATTGTTCGCTATGCGTATCAGGCTGCTGTCAGCATCATGGCGGAAGAAAGCTACTTCGCCAGGATCTTGCTCTGGAGGAATTTGTGCCTCTTGAAGGTGTTGCTGCACGAAGTGTTACAGGCGTCAATGCCCCCAGATCTCCGCGCCCTGTTGTTCCAAGGAAGGAATCTGTCTAGCTTTCTGCGCGACTTTCAAGTTTTTGGCCTTACGAAGATGTGGGACAAGAAGGCGATGTGGTACATGTTCCCGTCGTTCGTTTGTGAAGGACTAAGTGAGGAGGTGTACACCCTCATGCTGAAGTCGCAAACGTGGGATGAGCTGGAAGCTTCTCTGAAGTTGAGGTTCCCAGAGGATGAGGTGAAATGTAGGCTTGGTAAGGGCCTTGAGCAGCCAGCCGAGCCCGCGTCAACGCAAGGAGGGTTGAGTGGAATACAGAGGCAAGTTGGGATGTTGGAAGAAAGGTTGACGCGATTGGAAGAAGCCAAGCATGGCAAAAGGAAGGCCTCTGAGGGAGCATCGAGTGGGCCGATTGAGCGAGGTAGAGCAGAGAAAAGGGGAGTTCACCAAGAGTTACTCCTCCACGAGGGAACCTCGGAGGGACGAACCGGCGCCCCGGGGAGGAACGGAGGCGAGGGATTCATTGAAATAAGGGAGGAGCGGGAGGCTAGTATGACCCTGACTGTTACTGCGCCTGAGCAAAAGGGAGGGCCCATTAACAAAGAGGCGTCCTCGACTGTGGGTCAGGAGAGGCAAAGGAATGAATGGTGGCCAGAGCACTGGGTAAAGGCGGTGTGTGATCGTTGGGGAAAGACTGGTCGTACCCCGCAAGGAGATAAAGAAAAGGGAGTGATGGAGGAAAAAGGGAAACCTGAGCCTCCCAAGTTGTCAAAAGCCCAGCGGAAGGCGAGGAATCGGGCCCAGGGAAGTCGAGATGCTAAAAAGGGGCAGTGCTCACGACAGATGGGGGCCGCCCCGCAAAAGGTGGAAGGCAGAGCAGCACAAGAGAGGCCCCCGCCGATTGAGCGTTCGCTATACGGGCAGTGGGAGCCATGCGGTCAAGTAGGGCCAAGGCCCATATATGGTCCATATCTGCCCTGTGTACAAGGCAGTTGGTTGGGCCCATAAATGGAGGTGATGCCACCTATACCTCCTGCAGTCCAGTTCCAGCCAGCCTTGGGTATGAGGCCATTACAGCCGCCGATATCACGAGTGACACAAGGCCAGGTGGCCGGTGGAGGAGGCCAAAAGCGGAAAGCTGGAGAGGGTTGTAGGAATGAGTGGCACGAAAAAAGGGAACACGGTGGCAGCAAAGGCGACCCTAGAGGGAAGAAAGTGGGTTGGGGAGAAGACATTTGCAGACATTGTGCCAAGGAAGGGCACATAATGAAGTTTTGTCGAGAAAGAAGGGCCGATGAAGCAAGCGGTCTGATAAGGACAAATATTGAGGGAGGTGTTTTCGACAGGGTCGGGGAGAGTATCGACCCAACCATCCTTGGGGGAACACGGAAGGAGGCTTTGCGGCGAGATAGAGCGTCGAGCACTGCCTCATGAATGTAGTTGTGAAGGGGAAGGGTTTGTGTGAGAAGGGCCTGTAAATTTAAGTAGACTGCAAATGCAAGCGGGGAATCCCAATCGTATAGCTGTTGTAGGTAGGCACAACGCACAGAGGGAAGGATTTTCGTAATAATGGTGCGGTAAGGTAGCTCGAGTCGTAGGCAGGAGGAACCCCAATAGAATAACTGCATATATGGGGTATACTAGGTCTGCCTCCCATCATGTTATTGGAATGTCTCAAGTAGACGGAGCACGGAGTGACCCTGACGGTATCGTTACGAAGGAGGGGTCTGTTCCATTAGGCCTACGTCGTGCCTAGGCCTCGACAGACGTATAGGTGTGAGAGGTAGGAGAGGTTTGGGAAGAAACCTCATCGTGGGGAGATAGGTCATCTAGCCTAGGGAGGAAGTTGCAAGACTGGTGCATGGGCAACTCCTAGCCTTACTTTTCTTTGGATATCTGGATATGTTCCGGATTATTTGGGTCCCTCGGATTGAGAAGTATAGCTACGTCGTGATCAAACTGTTTTAGCTATAGCCTTGGTCAGGGAGACCGCAGTTGTTCTTATGTGATACCAGTGACGACTTGAGTTGAGATTGTTCAACTCCGAGTGCACATATGTAATTCGAGATGTTTGGCTCAGGTTTGAGTTGGGGTATTGTACCCCTGCGCATATATTGAGTTGAGGCCATATCTGAGACTATATTTTGTATATGACGATCACAATCACTCTCACATGTGTGGGTCATCCTGATGTATGATGACTTTGTGTGAGAGATGTGCGAGATACATCTCATGTGTATTGGATTGGGTGGATTTCATGAGAATAAATGAGTGTGAACTGTCTACTCTTCGGTATACTCGTGCGGCCTGCCTACATGCAGGGCAGGGCCGAGTATAAGGAGGGAGTGCAGTCTATCATTGTGAAAAGTATGAGAATCCTAAGGGATTTTGCGAGTCTTGGAGACTCGAGTGCTTACCATGCCGGATGTTTTATGACTAAGTTGCAAAAAGGGCCCATAAGCAGGCCCCTCAGTTGAGTTGGTTTGTGGTTGAGTGGTAGAGAGGACCCACAAGTAGGCCTCTCAGGTTGAGTTGGTTTGTGGTTGAGACCCCTCCAGATTAAGGAAGGGGGTAGTGTTGTTTATTGGAAGACTCATCTTCAATAGGGAAGGTGTTTAAAAAGGGTCGTGTGATAGCTCATCCTAGAAAGAGAGGTATGGTTGGGGGACCTACTAAGAGAAACCTCCTTCGTGCGATATGTGGTTAACAAATCTAAGGGCATGGTAAGCAGTGTTTGAGTTGATAAAGCCTGACGGGAGGAACCAGAATTACAGACTGGATCATTGGTGGAACTGAGAAGGTCGCAAGTCAGTGCATTAAGATGTCGTGGGATGTGTGGGCTGCTGTCTTTGATCAAGTCAGTAGGCCACGACCTTGTGTATGAACCTGGCGGTGAATCTGTTCGTGATTGTGAAAAGGAGCCATACTTCCTATGTTGTCCCGTAGGGAACTGGTAAACGATTTTAAGGTGAGACAGACCCATGCGTAGTCCTGTAGTGGGCCTGTGGTCTGTTTTGCGACCCACTGTTCAGACACTCGTGCCAATCCCAAGGCATGTTGAGGAATACCAAGCTAAACGGTAAAGGTTAGCACCTCTAGGGCGTAACCCCTATTGGATGACTGCAAAGTCAGCACAACCTGGCTGCAGACCCACGTCTACCAACGGGGTAAGAGTTTACGGGGTTATGCACGCCCCAGGGAAATTACTCCGGTGGGATGGCGGGGGATATGAGTCATTTAAGTCATCCTGATTGAATGCTTATCAGAAGGATACCTATCGTTGCACGACCAACAAAGGAACTGCCGTTAAAATAACAATGCGGTGTGCCGTTGTCCTGGTCCAATCAGTCGGGCTATGGTGGGCCAAGATGGGGACCTAGCCTTTATGTCCTAGACTGGAGAAAGAGCTGAGTAGATATTAAGTATACATATATACGTATGTGTATTTCATTGCGAGAGATTTTATGAGAAGGAAGGCGAGAATGCCTTCAAAGGTCTCCGTTAAGGCCCGCGTCCCTAGTTTTGGCCAGGACTAGGGACACCCAACGAGAAGCCGAAGGTTCTCTACGACCAGGGAGAGGACGATTGGGAAGGTCTTTGCAACTTATGTTGTCAGTGTCCTAACGCCTGGGCGGTGAGGAGCCCAACTTAGAAACCTGGCAGCATATGGTTGTGGAGGCGTGGTTTGATGGAGGCCTCTACCCTGTGTTTGTCGGCTAATCGGATTGGTTCGTTTCTCGTCAGCATTTTGAGTGTGGATGAATTTATAGCTTTCTGATTTGGCGAAGCGACGGGGACGTCGCTTAATATGGTCCGGTAAGTTGTCGGTGCGAATACCCTTACAAGGGTATCCGCCCTGGTTTTTGCAAACGACAGAAAATAATTTGGTTTAAAGTTTAAGTATACCGCGCTAGGCGCGACCGTGTCTGTAATTTACGCTGACTGGATGGTTGACTAGAATAGAGAGTGCGTAGGCGCGCAGGTTCAAGGCGCGCGTGGTTCATCCCCTGATGTTGATTACGAAACCGGCGCGGGCGCCTGTCTGTTTATTTTTATTTTTTATCGTTAAACTTTTGTTTTTGGTTACTCTTGATTAAGCTAGGATCTAGGGGATACTTTCTTTCGGTGGCTACGTTTGACCGAGTCAAGCGCGCGTGCGAAGAACGACCCCGACGACGGCCCGATTTCGTGCGGTGAGCAGGGTGTCGTAGGATGGCGCGCGGGGCAATTATGGCACGGTCTAAGCAAGCCGGCACGGGCACTGGGGAGCCGCGCGGCCGGTTTGTGGGCCCAAAGCGCCGCGCCGCACTGCCTTGTATGGTACCCTGTGGACAYCKRTATCAGGCTTGGGCATAGCCCTATAGGTTACGACAACGGACTGTTACTATGGTGGTTCGGGGATCGAGTCCAGCGGGWGTCGGCGCGGCTGCAGCGGAGTAGCGSRAAGGGAAAGCCTGAGGGGTTGAGGGCCCTGTGGGGCTATCCCCCTCRGTTTTGTTTATGGGTGCGGCGGCGGATCCAATCCGYGGGGTTGGCGAGGTGCCAGCAGCCCYGCGGTTCCCCRACGATTACTTTTATTTTATTTCCCTTYTGCCTATTRTTCTGGGTTCCYTTGTTATCRCGTCCCGTTTTGGRACGCGAGACTGCGGTAGGAGCGCGTGTGGAGGTGGTGACGAGGTTCCTCTATCYYGCCTACCGGGGAAAGTCRGCCCGAGGGGCCCGACGTSCATACAAGCCGGCGGTGGGACCACATGGGGTGGGCMGTATTC